CATGGAGTGGGAGGAAGAGCAGGAGAGCAAGGAAGACATGCGCAGGGCTCCCACTCTGGATTGGGGGTTCTTGACCGATGAAGGTCAAAGTGCTGTGACACCAGGCAAAAACCCTTCTCTCACATGTGCATTTTAAAACAAAGGAAAAACAAAACCGTTGTCGTGAACCAACCTCTTTGTTCCAATCTCGAGTCCACCTGCCCGCGCTCTCCTGTCAGGTCTAAAGGCCTCAGACGAGGTCGATGAGCAGGACTCAAATCCTGTGCCTGTGGAGTCTGAGGATGTCAAAAAGGAGATGGAAAAACTCAATTTCCCAGAGCTTGAAGGGGACCTTGCCCCAGCAGCATTGATCCCCAAGGCATGCCAGAGTTTACAGAAACAGGTGAGCAAATTGGAGTCAGCGCTGGATACCTGCAAGGGCGTTGCCCGGCTCACTCCTTTGCAGCAGCGGAGACCCGTCAAATCTACATATATAATGTGAAGGTTCTTGACACCCAGTCACTCATAACATCCAGAAAGGTTCAACAACTGTGTCCCAAATACTCCTGGTGTCAAGGTCTAACTTCTTTGGATATCTGTCATGAATGCCATCAGGAATGATAACGTTTTCTTGTTGGTGTATCTATCACCTTAGACTTTGCATGGGGTGGTTACGAGTACTCTCCCGGCCTGAGGATGCAGTCCAAGATCGAGGATATGTTGAAACAGCTGGTTGCGCACGACGAGCAACTGATGGATCAGCATGGGGAGGGTATCCTTGAAGGGTTTACTCACCAGTTCCTTGACTCTGGACCCTGGACATGCGTTGTTGTTTTCCACTCCTTTCCCATTCAATCCCACAATCGTCCTCAGACATTCATGCTGCTATGTTGTTTTTAAAACATGTTTTTTTTTTTAACATCTGCTTTGGACCATGGGGTCAGCCACTGACCTCTCCATTTACTGGCATGCATGGGTTCACGGTCACGATGCCAGTAAAGTTATGTGTTTTTCAACGCGATTGTACATCCACAGGAGCGAATGGAGGTCCTCTTGTATGTTAGATACTCTCTTTCTCTCTCCCTTATTTGCCCTGTAGATTAGATCCACTTGGTGATATTGTAGGGAAACACTACTGACACACTGTCCCTGTGCTCCCGCCATCAAAATCCACCTTTGGAAAGAATCCCAAGCACATCTGAGTACAATCCTTGGCCTTTTGAGGTTGCAAAAGAAAGTGTCATCCGAGCTGGAAGTTGCTCGAAAGAAGCCTGAGCCCTGTATGTATCTCACCCTTGGAATTGGGTGTAGCGTTCTGGATCGCCGAGGCTCGCCGAATCAATGTCTGTGCTACACTTTGCAAAGCCCAAAACTAAGTTTTCGATGGTGAAGCGTTCAATGCACCCAATGGCTCACAATTGGCCCCTCGACGCCAACTTCGGCCTCAGGACCCGACTCCCGGCGCCTGACAAGGGCTCTGCGACAAGGCAGCCTAGGACCAAGCCTGGCGCAAAGGCAGCGGCCAAAGGTAAGGCCAAGGCTAAGCCGGCCGCTGCTCCGAAGTAAGTGATTAGTGACCCTTACCCACATTGGTTTGAAGCCATGACCATGTTGCCTAGCATCACCTCGGAAAGCTTTTCCAATTGAATTTGTTTCTCTGGATCCATTGACCATCCCGGCTTGGCAATTAGACCTTGGAGTTGGATTACCAACTCTGCTTTTGGGGGCCCATCGTGTGCACAAAAAAAAGCATGGCTCGAACATCCACTTTAGCACACGCTCCTCTTGCGCAAGCCATGTTTCAGTGTTTCATGGCTCATTTGTGCACTTGATCAGTGAACGCTTGCAATCCTCTAGTGACAGGCCGTTGCTTTGGGGGCCCATCACGTGCTCAAAGAACGTTTCATGGCTCATGCTTGCATTTGGTCAATGAACGTGTGGAATAGGTCTTGTCGAATAAGTATTCCCAACCGCTCGATGTCCTCATGCCAGGTCGGCAGGATGCTAGAAAAACACCAGTCCCTTCAAGCTTCATGGACAATCTTGCGGATTCCTTGGGCGATGGAGTCTGGGTCTCAACTTCTCATTGAAACAATAATATATCGACTAGTACGGATCCACCTTCCGGTCGTTTCCCCGTCTGAGGCCACAGCAGTGAGCGTCGACAGGTCTTTGCGTTCACTGCAAAACAGACCAGTTGATACCCAGGCTTGTCACAATGCCTCAAGGGATGTACATATGATAATGGAACATTTGGGATACTCACTTCCTATCCCCGTGAATGAAATGAGCCATCAGTGTGGTTCATTAGAGCCTGTTAGCAGCCACCATATCAAGCCTGAACACTGGGTGCAACACTGGATGAACGAGTGCCCGGAACTACTGGGCGGCTGGAACGGAGACCCGCATGACAATTTCCGGGCCTTCTGGCATGCCTTCCAAATTCAACACCCTGGCCACGCCGTGTTTGCTCAACATCATGGCAGACTACATCGAGTTGCGCCGCTTATTCTTCATGGGGATGAAGGAAGAGCAGTGAAACGGACAAACTATCTCGTTGTAAGTATGCAGTCACCTCTGGGTTCCCTGAATGATCCAAACCTGCATTGTACTTGCTGCGCTGAGTTGAGCAAGCGTTCCAGAGTACCAAACTATGGAACTGATTTGGGGGCGGTTGACACTGAGCTCTTGGAGATTTGCCGCAAACAAACCACCAATTATAAAGGCCATTCGTTTCTGTCACACTGCCTTCTTTTCGGGCTTGGAGGTTGGACCTACAAGCGGCACCCAACCATCGTAGAGGACTTGTTGGCCGAAATCACCAAGAGCTTGTGCAAACTGTTCTATGATGGCGTGAGCGCCGCGGGTGGGACGATGTATGGCGCGCTGATTTCCATCAAAGGGGACATGGACTGGCACAAAAAAGTTATGAGTTTGGACCGTTCTTATGCGAACGCAGGGACATCTGAACAGAAGGAACTGTGTCACCTTTGCAAAGCGGGCGGCCCAACAGTCCCCTTTGAGGACTACTCTGAGAACCCTGGTTGGCTATGCACCGTGGGTGTGGAACGACCCTGGCCATCAGGAAGCCCCCCAACACTTACCCAAGTCCCATTCGACGAGACTTGCCCGGAAATGGTTTTGCAGCCAGACCTATTTCATATCCACAAGTTGGGGTTTGCAAGGGATGTCATTGGAGGGGTCCTAATACTTCTCCTCCGCTTGGGTTTCTATGACCACCCTGGAAGCAGCGTCAACATTGTTGATCGCTTTGAGCGTGCACACTCGTGGTTCGTCTTGTTTTGCAGGGCCCAAGGCCACAGCCCAGGCCTGAGAAGCTTCACCAAGGCTTTTTTCAATATGCAAACGTTGATTTCTGCACCTTGGTCATCAAGCAAAGGCTCTGACAGCATTCTACTTTTGCAGTGGTTGAGGCATTCGTTGAGGATCCACATGCTCAACCGTACTGTCCCAGGACATGAACAACTACTAAGCCACATGCTCCAGGTGGTTGAAGCTTGTCTTGGCCTGCGCATGGTACATCACCACAAGCTGTGGTTAGATCGGCAATGTGCGAGGTTGTTATATGTGCACATGATGACAGCTCTGCGAGGGTATTCCAGATTGGGCAAGGCAGCTCTTCAGCTCCACATTAGAGCATTCATCCAGAAGCCCAAGACTCACGCACTCCATCACCTAGCCATTTTCTTGAAGCAAGAGCTTGAAAAGGGTGCCAGTGTGATCATGTCCCCACAGGCTCACGCCTGTGAAGTCAGTGAGGACTTTATGGGGCGCGTGTGCCGCCTGAGCAGAAGAGTTGGCTTCCGCCAGGTCAATCTCCGTGTATGCCACCGCTACTTCATAAAGGTCAATGCCTTGCTTAGAAAGCGTAGGGCTAGCAAGAACCCAAAAGTTTGGTCCAAGCGGTGATGAGAAAAAGGTGGGGAGAGAGTGGAACAACAAAGATACAACCTTCACCGACCTCTTTTTCACCCCTTGCTTGTCAACCCAATTGTTGTTGAATGCTTTGAATGTTTTTGGGATTGTAGCCACAAGCCCGGGACATGCACTCTCATTGTCGATCTTTCTGCCCAGCTCTGAGTTGCTGGCTTCGTCTCTCGGCACGGGCTGGCAGCGCATGCGAGAAAGGCGGAAAAGTAACTGGGTGGATGAACGGGGTGAGTGTTGGACTAGCCCATGCTCTTAGCAATGTTTTGTTTTATTGTTGTGATTGCACTGTTGGATCTTGTCGTTGGAGCTGCAAATAAAACTGTAGAAACGATGATCTATGTAGAAATGAGCAAAAACGCCTCGGGCGTGAAAAACGGCCTCGGGCATGAAAAACGGGTTCGGGCAGAATTTCTGCCTGAATGGCTTCGGGCTGGAATTCTAGCCTGAAGGAGTTCCTAGGTATACGTTTACACCCCCTCACCTCTCTACATTTACATCTTCACACGCTCACATCCGCAGATCTACCTCTCCACCTCACCACACCCACACATCTGCACATCTATATCACATCTGTACATCCACACTGTCGCTCCTTCACATCTGTCCTGTCTTTCTTTCTACATATCTTTTCTCTCGTCTCTGTGCATTTACATCTTCGCAAGCTCACATCCACAGATCTAGCTCTCCACCTCGATACATCTACAGATCTATATCGCACCTGCACATCACACTGTCACTCCTTCACATCCACCCTCTCTTTCTCTCTTTCTATACATCTCTTCGACAGTGCTGGACAATTACATGTCTCGCTCTCGGGCCAACCGTCGTCTAGTAACCATATAGGACAGATGATGTACAGGACTTCCGGCTCAGTTATCCCTTGTGCTTGCAAGTTCTTGCTAAGAAGCTGAAACCAACACATTCCAATTCGGGGATGGTTTGCTAATTTATAGACTTTCATGAAGCATGTGTCAGTTTTTGAGTATGAATCCTTTTGCAATATGGCAAGCACATTGAGATGTCCTTGCTGATCACTGTTTTGATAAACTCACAATGATTGGCTCTGGCAGGTGGAATCCGTGATGACACCGGCCACGAGAGCTCTGTTGGTGGAGGCGCCAATCACGAGCCTCATCAAATTCTATATGGTGTTGCCTTGAACGTGACCTGATTTTCTCCCTTCGGATTTTTATTCACTATTTGCACAGAAAAGTGAGCTGCTAGTGCCAATCAACTTGCAATCACAGTTGAGATGGTTTGCATTTCCGCTGGTGCCTGGTGTCCTCGATTGGGCTGCAAGTCGCAAAGAGCAACTGCCTGCCAGTTTTCGGAAGATGAAACCAAGTCTATCAGGACACCTTCATCCGCCTTCCAGAAAGGGTACAACATTTTTTTGAGATCGTTCTAAAAGAAGAAGCGCCCTTTCTGATACTGTACATCTTTCAGACCGTCAGACCCCCCAAAACAGAACGATAGCAACGTGTTCACCAGGTGACGGGAGCTGAGATCGAGTTGCTGAAGTCCAAGCGTTTGGTGGAGGTCACCGGCACCGCTTCACAAATCGAGAAGGTCGAGAAGGCGTGGTGCGGAGGAGCGCGCCGTGCGGAGGAGCGCAGGCAGATGGGCCCCGTATACCAGGAGCACGGTAGACCGGTAGAGTGCCTCCTGCAAGTTTTGCGGGTCAAAGAGTGCTGTGGAGTGCCTTATAAGTGGGTGTTGAAGCGCTCGTTGCATTGTTGTTCGCTAATTAGTTGGGATCATGATGAATGATGAGGATTGGTAGTTATAGATGATGTTAGATGAGGATTAGATCATCAGTACTGTAGACTGTAGACTCTTGATTCATAAACCCCCGTGTGAAAAGCATGTCCAATTCAAATGGGAGGGTTTATGAAGCCCCCGCGACATCCGGAGACTCGACCGGATCCTCCGGTTCACTCCAGACTGGTTTCACCGTGACCACGGTGGGGTTTCTTCAAACGGACCAGGCGCAACCTCCATGGATTTCCTTACTTTGGTTATCTAATCCCATGCTTTTGCCATGTAATCGCTATAGACTATAGATCGATATAGATCGATGATATAGATGATATAGTGCATTTCGAGATATTTCGTGGTTTTGAACCCACTTGCTTTTGAGTTGGTCTATGCTTGTCGACTTGTCCCGGTGTCAACCACCGATTTCGGTCCGGACCGGTGGCGCGTTGGACTCAGGCGCTTCAACGGGTGGTGGCTCATTGCAATTGGGGCGCCAATGAGATGAAGATCAGGAGAAATGGCTGTGCCCGTGTGGGATACACAGAGGTAGCCGTAGTGGTAGCCGTTGTTTTTCGATTTTGGTGTGTTTTCTTGCTGTAATCGGTGCTTGTCAGAATCTTGGTGAACAGTGTGGCACACATTGTCAGAGAAAAAGTAAGGGGAGAACACAAAGGGGGTGAGGTTGCAGGCTGGAAAGCGAAACGTACTAACATGAGAAACCAAGAAAACACAGGAAAACATGTCCAGAACCCTAGCCATGTTTGCTAAAGTGACACTTGACTGCTATTGCACGATCGTTTTCTCAGTTTCATAAAGTGTCATATGTGGAAAACGAGGGCCCGCTTCGGCCCAAACCGGTTTCAGGCCCCTGGGGAAGCATCGGACGGGCCCCGACCTGTCGGCCCAGGAGTATTTTGCAGCCTCGTTTGGCCGGGAACCTAGCGTTGAGGAAGGTCACCTCGGATGGAAGGCCATGTGATGGATGAACTTGTTGCTTTCGGGTAATCTGTGTATTTTGATGTGATGGAATGCCCAACTTGCTTGCATTCTTATTACCCTACAATCATTGAAGCGCTGCACGATCTGTTGGTCAGTTGCATGAGATATCCCTTGATTTCTATTCAGATATTTTGTCTATGCTTTTGACCCACTGTCGCTGAGGGCTACAAGTCTGTCGGCTTCTCAGGTACCTGGCACCTTGTAAGTGACTTCCAGCTCTCACAGATGAGATCTGCTCTGGGAGATCAGAAACAACAATTTACACAGATTGAGTCAAATAATTACTACATAGAGATACATAGACGAAGCAATCCGTTATCTACATAGATTCCAAGACGAAGCAGCGGAAAACAAAAAAAACGAAAAGGGAAAACGGTGTTAGCGAGACCGTTTGTCTCGCAGCGCTCCCTCGATCCATGGTGCCTTCTATCGAGGCGCGCATTCGCTTGGCCTCGATGGCTGCCGGCCTGAAGGACTTCAGCCGGACGCTGACGGTGGAGAAGGCCACGTTCAGTGAGGTTAATGTCATAATTAATTTTGTGAGAAAGACACCTGCCCATCACAAGAAACAAAGCAGCAAAACAAAGAACTTATAGATATAAAAATATATATATATATACAATCACATCATAATTGTTTGACGGAGATTGACAAAGCATTACAGAGCGCAGGTGTGAGAGAAGAACAGCTGTTCAGCAGCTTCAGGAGTATTGGCTTTCCGTTTTTGTTTATTTGCATTCCAAAATTAGCCTTTCAAGGTTGAAAGTTTCACTTTTTGTCGCGTTTGAGCAGTTTTATGTTGATTGGTTTGGTTGAAACCGAGAGAACCTGAAAACATAACGCAACGCCTAAACACAACGCGGAAACCCCAAAACAAGGCAAACACAAAATTTACAGCGCTGAAACGGCGCAACATGACGCCAAAACGATGTCTTTTGGGATGACAAGTTTCTTTGTTCACATGTTTGACATGGCCCCAGCTAGGTCTAAAGCGTGCTCCTTTCTGCCGAATCCACTTAAGAGTAGACTGGGGAGCTGTTCCTCCTTGGGTGAATCTCTGCTGACTCCCTACACTGCGCGCCGACACTTCGATGCAGAAGGGCTTCGTGAGTTTACTGAGGACATGTTCTAAACAGTCTGCTAGCAAATGTGTTTTGGTAATTAGTAATTACATTCTTCTAAGCCGTTATGGACGCTTGGACTGTAGACTTCTTGGACACCTTCACCAATGTTTCTCAGGACAGATATGTTTTTGAAGTTCATGTCTCAAACCAAGAAGCTATAAGAGCGAAAAACAACGTACGTCTTACTCCAGGTCTAGTGTACATAAGCCAGCTAGGTTTTCCTAGAGATCTCCCGTGATGATTCCTGATTCCTGCATCATCAATGGCAGGTTTTACAAAAGGAGGGAGGGGAGTGTACTTTGTACAGAATGTTGATTTGTCACTGGCCCGTGGATGTGGCTGTGCCCTGGCTGTTGAATGCCCTTCCAGTCCAGTGCCCTGCTTTGGTGTTTGGCTTTGCGCAGTTTGAGAAGGTTCTGGGAAAGATTCAACGTGTGGGGATGTTTTCATGTAGCATCCAACGTTGTTGGTACTAAAGTCGGGGTGAGGTCGCACAGCGTCTTGTCGTAAGTCTGGAATGCCCAGTCTGGGCAGATGCAATTTTGGGCAGCATGGTTGTTTATAGTTTATGCGATTTCTCAACTTCTATGGCCACAGCCACAAGCCATCAGAATGACTCTTTCTTGAATTGTATTATATTGTCATATTGTCAAGTTCGGACCCAAACCCCCCCAACAAAAACTGAGCTAAATCAAATATAATCAAATCCTCTTAAGACCGTCTATATAATATGTTTGAGCTCTTGAACCTATCATAACCTATCTACTTTGACAGAACTGGAAGGAGCCCAGAGTTGCTACCCAAGGTGTTCCTTTGGTGCTCAGCTTCCAGTTTCGGCACATGTGAGACATGCTTTTCTTAAAGCCAGCGGCAGCTCGCTGCTCGAGGCCACCTTCTCCATTGGGACCGACCCGTCCTGCAGCCTGCGGGTCAAGGGTCCGTTGGTCTCGCGCAACCACGCAGTGGCCGGAACGCCCGGAGCGGGGAGGAATGCAGGCGTATTCCATGCGTATTTTGCGTAGATTGATGATGGAACACACATGGATAGTAGATAGATGATGGAACACACACCCAAGAAGTGTATAGAAGTGCTAGGAGAAAACCTTTAAAATCATTCAAGATCTATATAACATCTAAGAATAGAGGAGAGACTGTGCAGCATCTCCTCCTGTCTAGTGGAGCTTCTTGCTTGACCATGGCGGACCTTTAGACCCTCGTGGAGACCGATTGTGCGGAGACCAGCTCACACCGAGAAACTGGCCGAGGTGGAATTTCAGCCCGAGAAGGGGTCAGTGCTCCTCAGCAGAATGGGACCTTGGTGGGTGAACGTCAATCGAAGTAGAAGCCAAAGAGCGGAAGCCCCCTTGCTGTCAAAAGGTGTCAGTTGTGATATCACATCCTACCCCCGCTCCGAAACCAACAGGGAACCTGAGAGTTGACCGTATAGAAGACCCTTTTCCTTTATGCAACCCAGTGGTCTTCTTGGGGGTTTCATGGTGGTCCTTTGCAGGGGGAGTACATGCCGATGATCATCACTTTAGTCAACACATGAGCGGATGCGAAGGCCGCGCGAGGTCGTTCCAGACAGCCGGTGAATGGTAGAGGCTACGCGATCGGCCGCCCCTGGTAGTGGCCGATCTCCATTTTTTCGAGTGAATTTTGGTTCGCGTAACGGCATGCGACATGCTAAAAAGCGAGTTGATCGTGAGCTGGGTGGCATTTCAGATTTGATGTTTGGAACATGATTCTTGAAAGACAAGGCTGGGTCGCCCCTAGTCAATGGACAGCTGAGCTCCTAGTCCGGGGGAAGGCTGACACCACCAAACCCAACATGAATTTCTGATTTAGAGGGAACTTGTTTTTTGTATATAGTTGCTTTTCACTGGTCTTAGATGGTCTTAGTGTGTCGAGGTCTAAGCCGTCATCAATTTTGATTCGGAGTCGGGATGCGTTTGCACCACGCTGAGGTATATTGTGGACACCTCGACGTCTCTCGGATAACGGGTTTGGCCGAGTGCAGATGTCCAGGTGGTTCAAATTCGATGTGTTCGGAATTGAATTCTATTGAATGGTTCCTGTGATCAAAGCGTTTCCCAATTGCCAAACGACACAAGTTAAGCAACGTGGGGTTGTGTTGTGGAGGTCGCAGGTCAGCACTTTCTTTCTTCGGACGGAAGCATCTGAAAACACCGTCCCGTGCCGTGGAACCTCCACCAAAGCAAAGTTGCAATTGAACTCGAAGACTGTTTGACCTTGAATAAGTAAAGAGGCCTCAGCATAGATCAAGTGATGCCCCCATAGATCAAGTGTGTTGGAAAATGCATGAAAATGCGAACAGAAAGGCTGTCCTGCGAGCTCCCACGAGAGGAAGAGCTCCCGGCTTGGGCGACCCGTGGTTCGGATGGGTGAGGAATGGCGCCTTTCTGAATGGGAAGCGGTTGCCACCCAAAGCCAGCGCGAAAGTCATGCTGAGCCATGGGGATGAACTACTCCTGCAGGACTTGGAGGGGGAGGAGAGCTTGGAACCAAACAACACTTAAAAGCAATGTAATACAGTAGATATATTTCTTACGTGTTCAATATGGATGATATTGGATGATTATTCTTATATAATATAAGTATACTATACATTATACAATAAGTTTATTTATCTATCTAATTGTTTTTTTTTTTTTAAATATGTCTTTTTTTAATTTATGTTTTTCTATCTATCTATCTCTATATCTATGATCTCTATCTATCCATCCATCCATCCATCCATCGATCTAATCTAATCTAATCTAATCTATCAATCTATCTATCTAACTATCTATCTATCTAACTATCTATCTACATACTTCTTGCTATATTATATATATAGTTACTATATACATGCATACTTGTTCATTTGCAGAATTGCGATCAGTCACCCAATCAGTCAACCCATTTGTATCCTTATTGGCACTTCTTGGCCGCTTTAAAATACCGTACCTCGTGGCATCACACTGTGCGTCTCACACCAGCCGGAGCCGCCGCAGGACCCCAGTCAAGGTGGCGAGTTCGGGTCGCTCGTGCCGCACAGAGTCGCTTACGATTCAACCAGAAACGTAGGTTGCCCGTGGGAACCTCATTTGCTTGGGTGCGCTTTGATTGAGTGAACTATGACATGACAAGGCTGATTTAGCATCCTTGCTCTAATGACCCACACTCATGGAAAGTGCTTGTGCAAGCTATGTGTTTACCTTGTTTTTTGGGGTTTGTCCCCATTCCCACTGATTAAAAAAAACCTACCAGGCTTACGTGGGTGAAATTCTCCCGTACAGTACCCAACTTTGGATGCTTTCCAGGCATAGTTTTGACCCACGGCTGGAGTGGGTGAATCACCCTGACTTAATTGAAGACCTTGCCTTGCCTGCAAAGCACCTAAAAAACACATATGTAAAGCACAAGAACAAGATCCAATGTCAAAGCAGCACCAGTGTGGTGAACCCTCAGCACTGCTGAATTTGCTCCTTGCTCAGGTACATGGTGAATGTGGAGCTGCCTCCTGGCTCAAGTCGGGGATGCCGACCGTCACCCACCGCTATGAAGGAGGTTTCTGGAGTGCACATAGATACCACCGCCAACAGGTACACAATTATATAGTGCCTACAAATTAATTCAATTGCCTCTAAGTAGGGGTTACTTTTTTTTTTAGTAAGTAGCAGCAGCAGTAGCCGTAGGAGTATGAGTAGGAGCAGTAGTAGGAATTAAGGGAACCAAGCAAAACCTGAGAAGAGGTTAGGCAAAGATCTTAAATGGAAGCAATAGCTGAATAAAAGAACTTCTAGGACTAGGAACAAAAAACTCAATAACCAAAGACACCCTGGGCGCAAAGCTTTTTCCAACCCGGAAAAAACACTATTCAGATGTTGGGAATAAGTTCAAAAATACTTGTTTAAAGTCCCTCTTAGGGCATTGAACACTTGGAACTACAGGTCTTTGGTATTCAATTTGAAGACATCCGTTTCCTTCCTGGGTCCAGAAGTACGGCCGAAGGACTGGCGACCGGATGTCCATGCAGAGCATATATATCATATATCCCTTGTAGTATCCCTTGGTTTCGTGTGTCACTGATCAGTCATCCTCCGACCGATGCCCGTAGAACTTGTAGAAGCTTGGACTTGGACATACTTGGACATTTATTTTTGTATTTTTCAAGTTTCATCAAGTTTCAATTCCATGTAATATCATGTAATTATATATCAAACTACTCACAAGTTTGGAGCTGTGGTGGGTTCTTCTCAGTCAGCTCCATGTGATTCGTTTTGATGGCCGTTCCCTTTCCATCCAACTGATCAACTGTCGCCACCAAGGAACTGATCGCAGCCGCGTGGTTTCGACCGCGAATGCTGCGAACAAAAAAAAGGAACACCGCTGGAGCGGTGATCGCGAGTGGTTCAGCGATGCGTTGGGACATCATCGAAAAAAACACCAAGTGAGATGGAGACAAAGCCCCATTAATCTTCAGATTCCTTGTGGGGTTTGATGCCCGTGCATACACACAGATATATATATATATATACATACGGGAGAGTAATTAGCTGAGTTGACTCATTGGACAGTTGACTCATTGGTCCCGGCACACCTACATTGCTTGCAGTGCCCACGTGAACCCACAAATAGGAACGATGAATCCTTTTGTCACGACATGTTTTGCACTCCTGGCACCCCTGTCGGCAAAATCACCATGTCCGCCCCACTGAACGTGAGCCGTTTTGGAGACAGCCCGCACAGCACGCACCTGGCGTAGACGTAGCCTGGCTGCTCAGCCAGGCATTCGCAGGCGATGACAGTTGAAGCAGGTTTTAAAAACCACCACATTCCCAGGGTATAGGAGACCTAGTAAAAAGGTGGGAGTGGGCCAAGCAGGAGCAGTTTGGTTTTGCTCACTCGGAAGAGTATGCGAATTGAACAGATGTTCAAAGACCCCACCCAGGATCCGGCAGGTGTGTTTGAGACGCAGTTTTTAAGTACATTAGCCTTCAGTTTTTCACCATTTAACTTGCGTTTAATCTTATGATCCTTTTTTCAATCCACTTGCTGAAGCATCAGCTCACTTGAGATTTGCTTGGGGGCAGTCCTGTGTGTGTTACTTTTGTTCTTGTAGGGCCTCCTCCTACCTACCCGGCGATGCCATAAGGGTGGTTGTTGCTGTCCCTGCGTTTCATTGTTGCAGCCTGACAGCGCACCAGAGGCCCAACCCAAGTAGTTTGCTTATGGCCGAGGCAGAATGAACGATCACCTCCTTCTTGATACAGAGGAGCAGCTAGCCCGACAGCCTGGACATGTGATATACTGGCAGCCTGGACATCCGAACTGAAGATTTGGGCATGCTAACATCTTGGCTGTTGACTTAGATGAGTTCCACCATGCCCTTCCAGTTGTCAAAGGAGTGTGAATTGAACCTTGTATTGCCGGTCTTGGGCCCCTGTGCTTTGCATGAGGCTGCGGAATATCAAGAGCCGCTACTGGAGGCCAGATGCGTTTTACCATACATGGCACACCATGTTTGAGCCAACCAGACGTATTTCAGCCAGATCTAGTGGACGCTACAGGGAAGTTTGCCAACAGTCATGGCATGGGGCAACCTGAGATTATTGTGCACTGTGTGTACTTCCTGCGTTCTTCCAGTAGAATGCAATTGGCACCCTGTCACGCGGGCAGTACCGCCCGTCACCTGACTTGGGGAACAACGGTGAAAAAGTCGATCGACGAGCGGGTAGGGTGGGATCGAATAGGGCGGCTGGAGTGGGCCTAGCATGAATGTCGGGTCCAGGCGATTCTGGAAGACACAGTGCAATTGCGTGATCATTGTATGTTGTTATTTTTCCAGTATCCAATCGACGCGCCATGTGTTTACATTGGTGTAACGATGTGCGTGTTCTTTTTGTAATTGGTGTTTGTTTGGTTGTTTCAGTGTATAGTGGTGCTTCTGCCGCATTTCCTTTGTATGAGTGGTGACCTCTGTCGGAATGCTAACTGAGAAAAACAAAACGTAGAAACCAATTGCTATGTCACGATAGTCTGATCATGTTTGATCTTATACTTAGTTTGGTGACGCCAAACCGAGACTTTGAGACTTCGATACTTCGAGACCGCCCGGCTGCCAGGAGCTTCTAGAGTGGCAGATGGACTCAGCCATGGGGCCCAGCGTAAGGGAAGACGCTCAACTTCGACTATTTGTGATTTTGTTGAGATGAGCTTTCCTGGCACATGTCATCGCATGTCCATTAAAATGTCTGGTGACACCTCCACCCCAGACATTCCTCCCAAGCGCGCCGCACGTCCGCCGTCCTTCGCCCGTCGTTCCTCTTCGCCATGAGCAGCGAGCAGAAGATGAGCTGGAGCCAGAAGTTGAAGAGCACCTTCAAGGGCAAGAGCAAGACTTCTGACCCAGCAAAGACTAAGCACACAAGTGAGGCCTCCACCGCCGACTCCGCAGGGGAGGTGGTGACTCAGGTGACCGTGACAGCACAGGAGACGATGGAGGCAGCCAAATCCACGCAGGAAGGCTTGGCCAATGCCAATGCTGCTCAGACCACGGCCAGTACAGTCGAGGAGGACGCTCAGAAGGCTACAGACACGGCCGATTTGGAGACCCAGGCCAAGGCGATGGGCATCACGTTCAGCGACGAAGGTGTGGAAGCTGCAGCGCAGCCGGTTGAAGCACCTAGCAGCTATAGTAGCTGGATGGATCAGATGAGGGATGGCTTCCAACAAGGCTTCAACAGCATGAGCGAGAAGACCAAACAAGGCTACGAGGCCGCTGCCACGATGATCAACAGCCCCGAGGCTCAGAGCTGGACTCAGTCCATGAAGGATGGTTTCCATCAGGGTGTGAGCACCGTGTCCGAGAAGACCTCCCAAAGCTATGCAGCGGCCAGGGCATACATGGCGGGTGGTGCGGAGTCCTCCAACACGGACACCGAAGTGGTCCCCAGCTGGACTGAGCGCGTGCAGAGCAACTTCACCATGTGCCTCTCTACGGGCTATGAAGCGACCATGGAGCTGGTCGTTGGCAAGAGTGATCAACCCTTGGCTTCATCTCAAGTGGATGCCACCTCCGCCCACGCGGCTGGCGAGCATGCCTGCACACAGGTATCAGCGGCGGCGAAGACTGCCGGAAAAGAGATGGAGAAGGTTTGGGAGACTAGCAAGGCAAGAAGGTGCCGACCGCGCTGCCACTGCCCTGAAGCCGAAGAGTGCCAAGGTGGGTGGCGCCTGATCCGGCCGAATTGATATGGATATGGCACCATCGTTGGATATGGCGCTGCCATGTCGACCTTGTCGACTGAATTAATTTTTGGCTAAGCTGGTTCGCGAGCGTTGTTTTGCTAAGGGGTATCCTTTCGCGACCCCGCAGGAAAAATTGTGAAAAAAGAACATTTTTGATGTATACCGTTTTTACCGCGGATATGGTAGAAGAAAAAGGAGCGCCCCCCGGAAAAACGGTAGACAAATAAGCTTTTTGACTTTTACCGTTTTTACCGCGGATATGGTAGAAGAAAAAGGGGCGCCCCCCCGATTAAAATGGTAAAAACAAAAAGAATTGATTTTTATCGTTTTACTGCGGATATGATTTTTTTCCCCAGTAAAAAAGATTAAAAACAATGATGTTTACCCTTTTTGCCACGGAGATGGTAGAAAAGAAAAGGACAAGTCCACCTACAAAAACGGAGAATAACACAACTTTGATTTTTAACGATATGGTAGAAGCAAAAGAGCAAGCGACTCTTCATTATAAAAGGTAAATAACTTAAAAGTAGTAATTTTCACTTTGGACCGTTTTTTACCGCGAGAATGCCTCGGGACCAGGTCGCAAGCTAGAAGACCTCTGTCAACAAAAAGGTTTAATGTTACAGCCTGGGTATCTTCCTATAACCAGGTGGGGTTCACTCCTCCTATCATATAGGAGCATGTGCCCTTTTCGACAAGAGGAGTTTGGTGATTGATCAAAATTTCGTGACTTTTAACTTTTGCAGGGCAATGAAAGCCTACATCACTTGGATCGAACACTTTTGATTTTTACCTACCGCGGATATGGCAGAAGAAACAGCGGTGACCCTCCGTTAAAAACTGAAAAAAACACACATATACCCGTTTGCCCCCTTCGATCAAAACGGCACAAAAAGAACAACAATTAATTTTACCGTTTTGATCGCGGATATGGTATTGAAAAAGGAAGCGCCCCCCGGTAAAAACGGTAAAACATAATCGATTTGTTTGCCAATTTTACCGTGGATATGGTAAAAGGAGCGCCCCCCCGGTTAAAACGTTTAAAAAATAATCGATTCTTACCGTTTTTACCGCGGATATGGTAGAAGAAAAAGGAGCGGCTTTCGGTAAAAATGATTATTTTAAAAAAACACATAAAATGTTCGATTTTTACGGGGGGAAAACGGTAAAGAAACAAAAGGGGCGCCCCCCCGGTAAAAACGGTAACAAATAACATTTTCGATTTTTACAGTTTTTACCGCGCAGATGCCTCGGATTAACCCCGTAACCCCGGCAACTACGCTAAACCAGCACAGCTCGGGCCGCCCCGGCTTGCGCGGCGTTTTGGATACAGTTTGTGTTTGAGTTTCCTCGAACTCGACACCAGATCTCCTTGGGTGCTTGCAGTCTAAATTTCTATTACTGTGAATGTTTTTAGTCCACTTAAGGGTTTGTGTTTCACCTTTGGAAGTCCACTCTTCCTTCCACCCTGGAGTCGGCGACCTGGCAGAAGTCCAGCGCTTCATCACCGAGCCTCGAAGTTGCGTCCGCTGGAACGAAAGATGCCCAAACCGAGCATTTCGCCGACGGTCCTTGGATCCTCCGCTTTCCCCGTGAAGATCTCAGGGGCGATTTGCGGAGGGGTTAGTCAAATGGCTGCCCAAAGCACCAAACTGACAGAGGCAATGTTAAACATCACTTGCTTTCAATCCAAATCGTTTGGGAGGGCAACTCCCTCCTTGGGATTGGTTCTTGAACAGGGTGACCCCGACTTATATACAGGTAGTGACTCTTAGTGGTTATTGTGTTGATTGAGCCTGGGACGTTGAGAGCAATCAGAGAGACCCCTGAAATGAAAGGAGTGCAGACGATTTGTTTTGACATAATGGGCCGACCCAAGATGACCCAAGTGTATATATACATATGTATGAGTTTGTATGAGTATATATTGTTGAACTCGCACTGGAGTATTGACCAAGTGTAGGGAACCCTGCCCTAACCGGAACCTGACCGATTGGTGACCACACCTTCTTTTGTCTCAACTGAACAGCCTCCCTCCCACCCTTGTAAGTGGGTCGAACCGAGCGCGGACACGAGGCGAGACATTCACCTTTCATGCAGGAAACTTGTGAGTTTCACACTCATC